TATATATATAAATTTATGTGTATATGTGTAATGTATACGTATATGTGTATGTGAATATACGTATATATGTGTATATGTATAATATATTTTTTATATATTTTTTTTAAAATTAAAAAAAATATTTGCGACGGATTTTTCTGTCGCAAATCTGTATTAAACGTAGATTTTTTGTTTTTTTTTTTAAATATTAAAAAAGATATTTGCGACAGAAAAATCTGTCGTAATTCTGTCGCAAAACTCGGATTTTGTCCGTCGCAACTTTGCGACAGATTAACGACCGGCAAACTTTTGCGACAACAATATACGGACAGAAATGATTCTGTCGCAATCTGTCGCAAATTTGTAATTGCGACAGATATTCTTGTGTAATTGCGACAGATTTTTCTGTCGCAAATTTTGATGTTTCTTGTAGTGGTTGATGTTTCTTGTGGTCGGCTTCCCCCCATTTGCTCTACATGCGCCAATATGGGGCAGGGGCACACGAGTAAATATTGTCCCAGGAATCCCCTTCCGGTTGAAAAACCCGGTAAAAGAGTGTATGTGAGAATAGACATAACCGTAGGATACAACTATTGTACTGGTTGTGTCTCTTGCATAAACACCACTTGATTCCTATAAAAGTATAGGTTCTATATGACAAATAAAAATGTAAAAACACCAGAAAAGAAAAACGTGAGTTATCAGTTTTGGTGAGTAGCATTTGGGTTGTGAATCTGCGATTCCGACTCTAGTAGCCGATTTCCGACCATCGTCCAGAGAATTAGAAGACTGTGATTTCAACCAAGTAAAAGATCGACAGAATCGGTACGCAACTACACTTCCGTATTCTTACATTGGTATTAGAGCATGAATGGTTGATTTTCTGTCTTCATTGGGTTCTGTGTTTGTGCTTCTGTTCTCTGTCTTCGTTCGTTCTGTGTTTGTGTCTCTATTCTCGTCTTTCTGTCTTCGTTTATGCATCTGTCGTCAATGAGAAAATAGTGAATCTCGTCGGATTACGATGAGGATCCGAGTCCCGTCTCTCTTTCGCAATGTTCATCGTTTTTTTCGATGATTGCTGGTAACTTGCGATGTCGAGTGAGAGGCGGAGAGTGGACATGAGATAGACAGAAAAGAGAAAGAAGAAGACACGGGTTTTTTTAAAGAAACCCTAAATTTCATTTTTTTTAAGTTGGGCCTGCGATATGTTAATAAGATTATTGTTCCAAATTTTTTAAATAAACTTTAATGGGCCGAGACTTCATTCTTTCTGGACCACATGTTGCAATTAAAAAAAAAGGCATGAAAGTTGTGCTCAGAAAAATGCACTTGCATTTAGAAGTAATATATGCATAATAAATATATATATATATATATATATATATAATAAATAAAGAAATTAAATAAAATAAAAGTATGCATATTTGACTGACGCAAGTATGGCTAGCATGCAAATAACACTAACAGTATGTCTTTCAATAAACTTAGTACATGTGTTGTAATTATTTTTTTTGTTATGCGTACTTGGTTTATTGCATTAGTTTTGAGATTTGGAATAAATATGTCATGCACGAGTTTGAATGAATCATATATACAGTTTTTTAAAAGAAAATAATAATGTAATATGATGTTTATTCGTATTGATAATTATTTGATTAATACTTAGTCTCGATTATTCACATCGTGAAAATTACCGAACCGTGGGAAAATTTAGGTTTGTAGATGTAGTTCTTGCCTAAATTAAAATTTCGGTCATTTTGAATTAATTGATGGTGATCAACTTTTAATAATGGGAGATGATTGAGTGTTTAACACTTTTTTCGATTCCATGTAGATGTTTGGTCATTATTAATTAGTTAAAGATTGATCCGAAATGAGTTTATACTAGTGGTTAATTTCTGTGCACTTGTCTCTGTGTAGCGTGTGATGGCTACAAGTAAAACCATAATTGTTGACCTCAATCAAGAAGACAAACTGAATTATAAGAATTACGATGTTTGGCATCGAAAAATTCAGTATCTCCTTGAGGAGCAAGATTTTCTGGAGCACATCACAACTTAAATGGCAGAACCTCAAATAGTAGAGACTGGGGAAGGGGTCACTGAGCAGCATACTCGTGACCAAGCGGCCTATAAGACTTGGAAACGACAAGATCGCGTTGCTCGCATAGTATTGCTGAGCAGTATGTGAAACGACATAATGCTGCATTTTGAGAAGCACCGTTCAGCCATGGCGGTATGGGATGCCGTCAAGGTTCAGTATGGTGAGACCTCTACTACTAGATTGCGCCAACTCACTATGAAGTTCGATGTTTATAAGAAATGCAATGATCATTCGATGAAGCAACATCTTACGGCAATGCCGAACATGATCAATGAGTTGCGAGCTGTGGGTCATGCGTTAACCGATGAGCAACAAGTGCAGGCTGTTATTTGCTCACTTCCTAGTTCGTGGGAACATATGCGAGTAAACCTCACTCATAATGATGGTATCAAAACCTTTGATGATGTTGCTCGTCATGTTGAGCTGGAAGAAGACCGTCTCATGGCCGAAACGGCAGGAGAGGCCTATATGATGGAATCTGGTGCTCGAAAGACATCGGGTTTCAAGCGCAAAAAGAAAGGAGGAGCGTTCAACCATAACAAGGGGTTTGCTTCATCAAAGGGGAATCCAAAGCGCAAGAAAATAAAGCGCGGAGGAAACAAAGACAAGACGAACAAGACTTGTTACAACTGTCGCCAGTTGGGTCATTTTGCTAGAGAGTGTACTCAAGCAAAGGTTTGTATCGAACTATCTAAATCCTCTCGTTTATTTGTTAGTAGTTGTGTAATGTTGGTTGAATCTGTTCCTTTGTGGACTGTAGACTCAGCAGCAACAAACCACATAACGAGAGATCGGGGTGCTTATATACGTTGGTTTAGTGCTCTATGATGTACTGTTTGCGATCTTTACTTGGATGCATTTGATGTATTGACGCTTTCTATGATTTATGGATTAGTGTTTTATTCATTACATGTTTTCAATACTTAAATATGTTATGAAATCTATGTATTGTTATGAACAATACTAAACTCCCTAGTCATATATCATTGTGGGAATAATGATATAGTAAGACTAGTATGATGTGCGATT